GCCAAAAAAGGAATTTTTAGTAAAAAAAATATTAAAACAGATAATATGAAGCAGAACAAAAAGTCTTATCTATATAGGTTCAATGAAAAATAATATTAATATTTATGCTTATTCTCCATAAGATTAACATTGAGCTATCTCGGCAAGAAAACATACTAAAGTTATTACTTTCAATATCTCTGTAACAAATTGAAGTAGAACAAAGATTCAATATACTAAATTATTAGGTTTTTTGTGTTGAATCTAATGTTGAAAAAATAAATTTGAAATTATAACAAACTTTGTACAAAATATTAGAAAAACATATATTTGAGGTAAAAAATCTTATTTTTTAGCACATAATACCCTGAAAATTCATCTTTGGGTTACTTAGTCTGCCTAGTTTTCATATTTAAGGTTGGAAATATAGTTCTACATGTGTTTGCCAATTTTCGTGGAAATCGGCCAATCCTGGAACTATGAATCGACGAATTTGTAGTCATCTTGTCGATTTGAGGGCCTCATGGCGGCCATCTTGGAAAAACCCGACTTCCGGTTGTCCGATTTTGGTAGACTTTTTTCCTGGTACTTTCTACACCTATTACTACCAAAAACCGTCGAAAAACCATTTGTTGGAATTTGTTCTATCTCAAGTGCCTATATTTACTCGACTATTTTAAGTTTTGGTTTTTGTTATTAAATACAATGAAAGAAGTGGCTCTAACAAAATGGGTTTTAATTTAATATATTTAAGGGCACAACATGGTGGCAGCGGTAAAGACCCAATAAATTGAGTAACAGGGTGTCTAATATATATGCTGCATTACAATGTCAGACTCAGAAAACTCAGATATAACAGTAAGAAGACAAACATCTAAAATGACACAACATTCAGCAACATTGGGCTTCATTGATAAATACTCCTTTAAACCAGAGGATTGGGGCCCATGGTTAAAAAAATTCAATAGGTACAGAAATGCTACCAATTTAGATCAAATAGATGGAGAAAAGCAAGTAAATTTCCTTATAATATCCATGGGTGATAATGCAGAAAATGTATTAATAGCAGCAGGAGTAACAGAAGAAGATGAAAAGACTTATGATAAAGTGGTGGAAAAACTTAATAAGTATTTTACACCAAGGGTGAATTTGACCTATGAGAGAGCGAAATTCAATCAACGAGTACAAAAGCAAAATGAACCGATATCCGATTTTATAACAGATGTACATAAATTAGCTTCTTCATGTGATTACAAAGACATGAAAGACAGCCTTATTAGGGATAAACTCATTGTTGGAATAACAGATTCAAAGTTATCTAAGGAACTTCAACTGATGGCTGACCTAACCTTGCATGAAACAATAAATAGATTGAAACAAAGTGAAATTATAAAGAACCAACAAATTACTGTTAACAGATCAAGAGAACAAGATTTTGCAGAAATAGACCAAGTGAAAAAACATCCGAACTTGAAACAAAACATAAGACAATATACTTCTAATTGTTTTTACTGTGGAGGACAGAGGCATCCTAAGGAGGAATGTCCTGCTCAGAATATTGAATGCTACTACTGTGGATTGCAAGGACACTTCAGCCGATGTTGTAAAAAGAGACAGAATAATAAATACAGAAATCAGAACAATAAATACAGAAACCCAACCCTGAATCAAATTCAGGAATATACCGAGAACAGATTGGAACAGGATAATAGAAGCGAGGACGGGTATTACATTAACAGAGCTGAAATTAAGAAAATAAGAGCGACAACAAGGAACTACAATAAACAGAATGAATTTGAAATTGATGTAAAACTTGATGGGAAATTGGAACATTTCAAGATTGACAGTGGAGCCGACGTGACGATTGTGCCTCCAAGAATGGCTAGAAACAAATTATTGACTAAATCAAACATTGTTTTAAAAACACCTGGGGGGAAGTATTTAACAGTTTTAGATAAATTTGAAGGTGTAATTCAGTATAAGAATAAAACAACTCGTCAAACAATATATGTGATCGATGGTCAAGAGGAAGCATTGATTGGGAAACCATGCATCTCAGCCCTAGGGTTCTTAAGGGTCATCAGAGGAGTTAAAAATGACATTCAGTCAAGTGAATATTGTAGCAACCAGAATATCAACACAGACCTACAGAAGATCAAGAATAAATATCCAAGTTTATTTAATGGGATTGGTAAGATGAAGAAAGGAGCTCAACTTAAACTGAAACAAAATGCGGTACCGATGGAGTTAAAAACTCCTAGAAACATACCTATTCCATTAAGAGAAAAAGTGAAAAATGAACTTAAAAGAATGGTTGAAGCGGGAATCATTGAAGAAGTTTGCGGACCTACGGAGTGGTGTCATCCAATGGTGGTAAGACCTAAACCTAATGGCAGTGTAAGAATATGCATTGATCCTTCAGCTTTAAACAACCATTTACAGAGAGAAAATAACGTTTTTAATACTGTTGAGGACTTACTTGGATGTCTAGGGAATTCCAAATGGTATTCAAAATTAGATGCTAATTCGGGGTTTTGGCAAATACCGCTAGATGAGGGTTCCTCAAAATTGACAACATTTATAACACCATTTGGTAGATTTTGTTTTAAAAGACTTCCCTTCGGAATTTCAACAGCCCCGGAAATATTTTGTAACAGGATGAAAAGTATTATTGGAGACATCCCAGGAATTTTGTGTTATATGGATGATATTTTAATTACCGGAGAAAGTAAACCCGAGCATGACAGCAGACTAGACCGAGTGTTACAAGAATTGGAAAAAGAAGGAGTTACCTTAAATGACAAGTGTGAAATAGGAAAAACAAAGATTTCATTCTTAGGTCACATTATTTCTTCTGGTATGATTCAAGCAGATCCCAAACACTTACAAGCAATAATCGATTTCCCCACACCCAGTGATGTGGGAAGTGTTAGGAGATTTCTAGGGATGTTGAATCATGTCGGAAAATTCATAGAAAACCTTGCTGATATCATTCAACCACTGAGGGAACTACTAAAAAAAGATAGGGCTTTTGTTTGGGGTCCTAGTCAAGAACAATCATTTAAAACAGCCTTAAAGAGTTTACAAACAACTCCTGCCTTAATACCATTCAATTTGAAAAGGAGAACTATAATTTCGGCCGATTCATCAGCTTATGGTTTGGGTGCAACACTTTTGCAAGAACATCAAGGACATTTAAAACCTGTGGCCTACGCATCAAAGAGCTTAACACCGACTCAACGGAAATATGCACAAATTGAAAAGGAGGCTTATGCAATAGTATGGGCATGTGAACGTTTCAAAAATTTTATAACAGGATTGAAGTTTCAAATTCAAACTGATCATAAACCTCTGATTCCTCTTTTAAGTAGTAAGGGTTTGGATGAACTGCCGCTAAGAGTTCAGAGATTTAAAATGAGATTAATGAGATATTCGTACGACATATTGTGGGTACCAGGAAAACAATTAACAACTGCCGACACGTTATCAAGAGCGCCAATCAACAAAACTGAAGAGGAAGATATTGAGAAACTTGCAGAAGAAGCAGAAGCATGTGTAAGAACAGTAGTTCAATCAATCCCAGTATCATCTAATAAATTAGATGTAATAATAAAAAATCAAAGAGAAGAATTACAGGAATTGTTAGATATTACAATTCAAGGATGGCCTAAAAATAAGAACCTATTAAATGAAAGATTAAAAGAATACTGGGATCATCAAGCAGAATTGTCGATCAATGAAGATATACTTATGAGAAATAATCAAATAGTGATTCCTCCATCCTTGAGAAAAGAAATGTTAGATAATATTCATCAAGGTCATCAAGGTATTAAAAGATGTAAAGAAAGGGCTAAAATGTCAGTATGGTGGCCCAAAATTAATCATCACATCGAACAAAAAGTAACCTATTGCCCGCAATGCATTGCTGACAGAGTGCCTCCTCGCCATCCTATGATTCCTACAGAGGTTCCTGAAAGACCCTGGCAGAAAATCGGAGTAGATTTTTGTGAATTCAACAATGATAAATACATAATTCTCATGGATTATTATTCCAAATACATCGATGTATATAAGGTATCTAACTGTTCAACGGCAATATTGATTAAATCAATGAAGACATCGTTTGAAAAACATGGCATCCCCGAGTCAATTAGATCAGACTCAGGTGTGCAATTTCTATCAGAAGAATGGGAACTATTCAAATCAGAATACGACTTCACAGTGGAAACTAGTTCACCATACCATCATCAGTGCAATGGTCAAGCTGAAAGTGGTGTGAAAATCTTCAAAAACATATTAAAGAAGTGTAAGGATAGACATCTGGGCTTATTGGCATACAATACGACGCCAAAGGAATGTGGTTATAGCCCATCACAACTATTAATGGGACGGATTTTAAGAACAAATCTACCAATGAATAAAGCAACTCTACTTCCAGCCATTCCAAATCACAATAGATATAGACTTAGACAAATGGAAGAAAAGAGGAAACAGGAACAACAGTTCAATAAAAGACATAGAGTGACCCAGGTCAAGGATTACCCAGAAAACGCTAAAGTTTGGGTATCGGACCGAAGAGAAGAAGGGGTAATCAAGGAGAAGTTAGAGAACAGGAAATATAACGTTGAAACAAAAAAGGGAGGAAGATATATCAGGAATGCAAAATTCTTATTCCCTATGTTCTCCTCTGGAGAAAGAGAAAATCCTGATAAAGAAAACCCCCTTACACAGACACTTCCTCCAAGACAGACACATACACCAAGATCCAACCTACATAATCATTCTTCAACCATACACAGACCTACCAGAATTGTTAAACCTGCCAAGAGGTTCATAGAAGAACTGTAAGAGGGAGATGTCCTGAGGTCTACATTAATAGTTTGTTTATTTGCTTGTCATCTGGTTTGATATATTATTGTTTCATGTTTACTTTTAAGTTTTGGTTTTTGTTATTAAATACAATGAAAGAAGTGGCTCTAACAAAATGGGTTTTAATTTAATATATTTAAGGGCACAACAACATATACATTTACAAAAAGTTATTGTATTTTATTATTGTCTTGATTTAAGATTCATACTTCACTCTCGCTACTGTGTCATTTTCAAATTTGTGTGTATGATCAAAGACAAATAGAATAAATATAGACTGTCAAAGGAAGGTTCCGGCGCCCACTGCTAGGAGCACCCTGTAGTTAGCGGTGTGCGCCGTAACTACACGGCACTCCTATAGTGGTGGGCGGTTGGGGAGCGAGCTGGTCTAGTGGTTAGAGCGCGGGACTCCAGTCCCTGAGGTCCCGGGTTCGAATCCCGCCAATCACCAATGGATTTTATCTAAGTGATAATGCCGCTACCCCTAGGTCTAGCCTGAAGTAACGTGAAAAACAATTCCAGGCTCGTGCCTAGCGTCTTAGGACAAAAAAAAAAAAAATAGCGGTGGGCGCCGGAACATATGCTAACCGCAGCACTGCTGCCGGTCTATGTTTATTTTATTTGTCTGTGGTATGATAGATAAATATTAATTTATATTACTTATAATAAAAAAATACTATAAATACTTGAAAAAATAATACTGATTTAGGTGGTATTTAACCCTATAAAATAATGCGATAACAATAAAACTAATCGTTAGAAATACTATTTTAGAAATTTCTACCATATTAATTGTATTACATATTAGAAACTATCAGTGTTCAAATTTCCAGATTATTGAAAAACAATATATATTATTCTTTCTCTGCATTTTATGTTCCAGTAAATATTTTTTTACAAATTTTACTTCAAACCTTCCTATATTTACTTAGCCTACTTAGTAACCTGTATAACAAACCTCTCTAATTATCTTAATCGAGGAGTACATATCAAATGGACATGGTTACAATGGGTAAAAAAAAATTAAATAACCTGCAAGAAGAGATAACAGCACAAATATTTTACTTGATTTAAAAACCTAGCATTTAATCCAGCTCAAGTTTTGCTCTTTTAGCTAACAATCCAATCTTCTTCTAACATCCAACCATAAATCTCTCTTTACTTCATTTTCATCATATATTTTCATTGGCCATTTCGCCATTGTACATTAATTTTCACTGCCCAATGAATATTTTATTCAAGTAGTTTAACCATTATTTTCAAAGATTCATGTGGCGCTGGAGTCTTGAATATTTGATCTCCGTTTTCATCAACGTGGTCGGCATATTTCAATTCGTGGACTAGCTCAAACCCCAAAGAAATGAGGATTTTCTGGGAGAACATTCCAGTTGCATCTCCTTTGATTACCTGTTCAAAAAGAATCAAAATAAATTAACAGTTTGTAATGATTTTTTTTTTTCAACTAAAAGGGTAATTCCCTTTGAAAGATTAGTTTTCTGGAACACCGATAGTCAGGAAAAAACAAAAAATAAATTCAACGTGTTTAAATAATATGAGCCTTGAAATGCTAGGTTCAAACACAGGGAAATATGGACACATCAGCTCCGCTCTGATGAGAAAGGTTAAGAGATAAGGGAGCTCTCCACACCATTCTACCAAGATAACTTTTAAGAGCAATGTTTTTAATAATAAAAAGTCAATATAGTCAGAAAGAGGCTCAAATCAAAAACTAAGGTTTAACAATTCTATTGAAAATGTTCAATCAATTATAAAACTATAAAACTTCCATTCCTATGTGAAATTTAATTTACCAAATTAATTGGACAAATATAAATTAAATAGACTTCAAAACTAAAGATAAAGTACAAGTTTTACGAGGTTTGTCCACAAATTAAGGTGTCCAACGAGCTCATCGTGGAAACGAGATGTGTAGTTCCAATCTGACATCAGGGGTGTACTGTTTACTTTATCCTCTACTAGATTCCGTTCACAAAATTTAGGCGGTTTTAGGGGAAGAAATCTATTCCCTCCACTCGACTCTTACCTTTAAAATAGTATCTCAACAGCTGATTAAGTAACATTAAGTAACATAGATTAAGCACAAAAAAGTGGTGGAGGAACTTCCCCGCAAACCGCCTAAATTTTGTGAACAGAGTATCTAGACACCCTACCTTATTTACGGTTCCCACTGTAGTGACTATAGTCTGATAGCGATAATTATAGTAGAGATAAAGTAAAGAAGACAGTACTGGAAACAGACTAGATCTAGTTGGCTTAGTTGTAAGTGCACCTCAATACACAGATAGCCCTCGAACGTACTTATCAAAGAACTCACCAACCTTAAAATCGTGTTCCCTTGCCACATTTACAGCCTGCATGATGAGTCCTTTCCCGAGTCCTTTTCCTCGGTAATTAGAATCTACCGATAGAATCCTTGCATCAAATATCTTGTCTGCGTTGTATTTACTAAACAAATCCAGAGATTCATTTAGGTCGTAGAGGAGAGTGAAGATCCGTTTGAACTTCTCATCTGTCATCTTCTCCAACTTGTCCCTTTCCTTCTGAATGTCTCCCGGAAGACAAACACCGTTGAGAGATACACCGCATACCTTAAAAGAAGAGTAAATCCAAGAGAAATGAAAATAAACTGTGAATATAAAAGAATATTAGTATTACATAAGTTAATAAACCATGGTACTCAATCTATTTATATACATAATACAGTATGTATTATGTGTGTATAACATTTAAATATGTATGTAAAATACATATTTTATACATTATACTATATATCATATTATATAGGGTTTTCTTAGTAACACCCCTTTTGCAGCTGTTCTACTTAATTGATCTTCACAATTGAGGTGTCATTTTTGAGGTCATGGTATAGCGCACCTACGAATGGTAACAAAAAAGGTAATTTCATAACTAAAAAGGTAGGGTTCAATTATAAAGACAGTGTTGCTGACACGTTTTTTTTTAACGGTTTAGCCTACGAATTGTAAATCTAACAGCTGATACTTCAGTTGAATCTTTAACCACAGTCCGATTGTAAACAAGGGACAGACGAAACAGTTTATGAAAATGGATATTAATTGAGCAGAGTCATCAAGGGTTCATATTTTATTGTTTTTGTAATACTAGGCTACTTTTTTGATAATTGCAACCTGATTGAGGTAGGTACATAAATCACTCTTCAGTCTTTATATGCTGTAGGTCTAGATCTTTGAAAAAGTAAAAGGATGCAGTCATCAATAATGCATTATTATTTTTCCCCTGGAAGTTTTGAGCCCAATTAAAATGTGCAATTTGTGGATGGGTCCCCTCGTTCATTAATAATCTTTTACTTTTTACCATATTGTCAAAGGTTTATTCTAATTTACTTTTGTGTTTTCCTTTTCCAAAAAGTTGATGTGTCATACAAAATGAAAAGAGGCGGACCCAGATAAAAATTGAAAAAATACGCTGGAGGGAGTTGAAAACGCAAACAAAAGATTGATACATCGTCTGGATTGTATGCTCCCAATTAGGAGATAAGTCAATTAGTCATTTGTGTACAAATGAAAGCTTATTCATGCCTTTATGTTAATTCAACACCAAAAGAAACTTGAAGCCCACCTCAAGAGTATTTTTATCGATGGCCATGACGGACAGTTGATCCCTCAGAGTATTCAAACTATGGGTCTCCAGTTCAGTGTGAGGTTCTCCTTGCAAACACAACCCCACAGACTTGTTCAGTGGCTCGTCCGCAAAGAAGTTGTTCCTCAAGTGAACGATCACCTCATTGTATCGATCCTCGGGAATGGGAGAGATGTAGTCAAACTCATCACTCATTGTGTATTGTTTGGTCCTGGAAAATTGTTTGATTAAGGCTTGATTATACAAATACAAGCTACTATAAGCCAGCGAATAATAAAGCAAGCTTGTCGGCTACATAGAACTCTCGCTACCGACCGATTCCTCCGACATTATCAAGACTAACCCTACTCAGGGTCATGATCAATTTGTAAACAGGTTCATCATCAAAAAAATATAGGTAGTTTTGTTTCATATACATTTTGTTTTATATTTGGATGTATGTTTAGTGAAAATCTAAAAGTAATAAAATCAACTTGATTACTTGAACAAATTTTAATTATTTAGTTTGTGAGTGGCAAAATATGTTTGATATTTACAAGAATATAGAACCAAATACCTAGAACAGAGTAGTATTCAAACTAACAGAAATTAGAGTTTCACAATGGTCATATGTGGCAGAGGTAACATTTACAATATAATTAATTATTTTAAGATACATCAGTATTGCTAGCTAGGTTAGTATTTTTTTTCTATTAAGTTACATTAATATATTTTCCCTACAGTCACCCGATAAAGTGGGCTTCCTTGCACTGATTATACATAGTACAGAAAGTTGCTAAATGCTGCACTTACTTACTTTTGCCGCACTCTTTTTTAATCACTTAATTTCATTAGTTAATTACAAGTAAATCAAACTGCCTACACTAATGAAATAAACAGTATCAGCAATCTGACGCAATACAACATAGGGGGTCGTACCATTTTGTTTAGAGTTAAAAGGACAACAACCTACTAAATTTTAATCAAAGTCGTTGGGCTTTATGGGGAATTCAACTCTTTTACGGTAATTCAAATTTCAAAAAATAAAAAAAACAAATGCCAGGAGATATAATGGATTAGCAGTCACATACTGGTACCAAATTTCATCAAAATTGGACCACAGTCGTAGTCTATAGCTCTGAACACATCCCAACACACAGACACATAAAAAACCAGTGTAAAATTTAGGCAAAACTATACTTTCTCGACACTATTTATAGGGGGAGAAATTAAAAGACACAACAAAAATTATAATCATATTATGTCTACTCCAAGAACCTCACAGAAATTTCCGCAGTAAATATTGTTTAGTTATTAAACAAATGACGTTTTTGACCCGAAAATGAACATGATTTAACATATTGCTTAAATGGAACTGCTAAAACATATGTTCAATGCTATTAGTATAGGATTCGGGGCAACAACATCATTTGTTTATGTTTATGATCCATACCGGTATTTTTCTAGTATTCGTGGCTTATTCTATGGAATTTAGTAAAGTAATTATGCAAAAATATTGAATTTTTTAGTTTTTAAATTGACTTAAAATTGATTATTCAACTTATTGAACAAACTTTATATGGCTAAAAAATTCCTTATAAAATTGTTTAAGGTCTTACTTCTATTTTTTCAATTTGACAGTGTAAAGTAAAAAAAATACCCCCGCCGCAGCAAACCTGCCGACTAAGCGAATTTCCATTCGTCTTAATTGATTTTCAATTAAATATATTTTAATAACATTAGGTTTAACGAGTACCTAGGTTTGCTGCTACAAGGAAACTAATGAAGTGTGTTTTTTTTGTAAAATATTGATAGCTTAGTACAAAATTAATAAATTTGATCAAAATACAAAATATATCCATACACAAGCAAACTACATTTGACAATATTCTCCTTAAGAATAACATGGGAATTTAAAATTTACAATTTTTTTTTAATTTTCTCCGTTACTATTAACCGAACAAAAATACTTTTACATACTAAATTAATTGTTTTTTTAAGCTCTTTAAAAAGGACTAAAGAGAAATTGGGAAATTTTGTGTTTTGAGGGTCAAAAGTGAGAAAAACCTATTTTTACCCCATAAAACCCCCCCAGGGGCGTCGCCTTGGGGGGGGTAGGGGGGGGAGCCTCCCCCCCCTAGAATCTGGGAAAGAGAAAAGTTGGGAATTTCCTTGCCATGAGTTGGGACAGTTGGGAAGTCGGATACAAGAAAAATATATTTTTAAACTAAACAAAATTTAAATATTTGCAAAAATCCATCAAAGGGAAAAATTTCTTTGACTTGGACAAATAAACTTGACGCTTCTTTGATTTAATTTAACTTTGATTAAACAAGGCTAAACACGCCTTATTTTAAGAAATCAATAATCAATTAGCGGTAAAGCTTGTTGGAATTTCGTTTACGAGAAATTTTGTTCCTTATTGGACGCATGTTGGGTACCTTGATCCTGTCCTGTGTTGATTATTCTGAATGATTCGTCTGCAAGTTTGAATTTTGAAAGTGCAAGCAATGTAGCTCTTCTGTTCAATTATGTTGTTTGTTAGTGTTTACAAGAAATTCAAAAATATTTTTCACGTCAGTCACATGAAATATATTTTATACCTTTTTTGTGGTATTTGGAGCAGGCTAACTGACCGGAGTACTTGCTAATAAGCAGATTAAAATAACATTAAACATAGGTTTTGTGTATCGGTATTACCTTTAAAACTCTTATTTTTTAATAAACTAAATGGAATATTTATTCTCTGAATATATTTTAAAAATCTACACAAGTTATTTATCACTCCTAATTAAGGGTTTACAAAAATGAATCAACTAATCACTCTGAAACAGATCTACGTGGACAAAACATAACCTAAAATTTGATGTTTGACTTTCACTCTAAGTTTGATTTTTGTCTAAGTTCTAGTTTGATGAAGATGAAGGTTAACATTTTTATTGTATGTATAAGTTTATTATCAACCAAGTTGAACGTTTTTATTTTATACGAGTCTTACTTTAGGTTTATTCCTTTCTAGGCTAGAGTAATATTATTCACAACACTGATATTAATATTTCATCATTACAAACTTGTTTAGGCCTACCCTAGCTGTAAGTTTTATGAAAGTTAAAATGTTGATCTTAACTTCTAAAAGTATTTTAATTTCATTATTTTGTAATAAAATATATTTTCTATACCCACTAATTTGTACTCTGAGGCTTATTTTATATCACTAAAATTTTACACTGCTACGTCTGCTACCACAATGGTTTTTAAAGTTTTTTGGATTCGAAACATTACTTGTTCAAGCTTTTTGAAGTCATAAAATTTCATTATGAATTGGTAGAAGTTTTAGAAATTGAGTAATTTTGTATAGGATGTAAAACTAGCTATGTTTTGTTAATGCGAGTTTATAACTACTGAATTGAATGTTACTGCAGTGTAGTATAATAATTTGTAGATTTTTAAAAATAGTACCGGTACAGAAATTGATTTCTAAAAAAAAATAGTTGGGAAATCTATGTTAGGCAGTTGGGAAATTTGAGGCTTCTCCCCCCCCTGGAATTTAACCAAGCAACGCCACTGAACCCCCCGTAAAGACCCGTTCCGATGGTCCGATCATGCTGGTTCGCGAACTCATACAAGTTTATCCTGCTTTACACCTTAAACCTAAATTTCATCAAAATCGGACAAAAATTACTCAAGTTATCGCGTTCACGGACGTATATATATATATACATATAAGTCTATATATATATATATATACATATATAAAAATTTGAACGAATGGTGTTTTTGGCCTCTGGGGACATCAAAATGAAAAAGTAAATCGGACCCGGGTCTAGGTCTTACCGTGCCACCTACGGTAATAACTACTTTCCCTATAGGGAAATTCGCTAATAGCTACTTTCCCTATAGGGAAATTCGCTAATAATTCACTCAAGAAAGTTTAAAACTAGACTTACAAGTTCTGAGTCTTGATGGAATAATTTCCTGATTCGGTGCTCTCTAGACGCCTAAAACACTCATTATTGTGGTTTTCGCTGTGTTTCTTTCTTTTGAAAGATCTTGAGGGACTGTATTTATTTTTACTAGAGTGAAATAGTTTAAACATGTTTGCCAGAATGATTTTCTGCACTGTGTAATCACTCTGTGTATATGACATCACGTTCATGTTATTTATGACAACTAGAACAGACTATTGCTCACTGCACTCTAGGCAACAACACGATTCACTGTTAATCTTAACGAGAAAAGCAATGGTTGGTTTTATGCACAGTTATAACAAGTACTTAAACAGAAACAGCTTTCAGTTATGTTTGTGTTCTTTTAGTTGTTAGTTCATGTATTAGCACAGAAAACCAAAAAATTAGTTTTTATTGCAAAAAAAATAAGTGATGGTAGGCTACTTACTGTATTTTTTTTTTAAATAAATTTTCTGTTCATCGTTTATCCTTTAGTTGATATACCTACTAATGTAGCCTAAAAAATTCCATTCTTGTGTCAGACGTGTATTCAGTTGTATAAAAAAATGTATGCTACTATCAGTGATTCGAAAATAAGATTCCCATACCTGGTTCAAATAACATTCAATGATTCAATACCTGATTACCTGTGTTGAAGATTAATGGCTTGAACAGCTAAATTTCCATTTAGATTAATAAAGATGCTCAGTGCAGAAATAAGCTATACAAGCTAGAACAATAATGCTGATAGCTTGTATACTGATGTAAACTATTTATCTATTGTTTTGCTTTAGGTTCCATGAAGTAAAATTACAGTTTTATTTATTTATTTATTGTGAATGCATGTGCAGCTCTCCATTTATACATTGTTCAAAAGTTTGTATTTGATTTTTTAATTCATGTAAGTTATTCTAATTAAATACAAAATACAAAGGTTTGACTAATAATTTTAAAATATTCATTAAACTAGTATTTACCTTTAATAATTTTTTTGTTCTTAAAATTTTTGAAATCACAATTTTACTTTCTCCCCATAGTATATGGAGAAAGTATTGTTTTCGTCAAAAATTTTGAGTTTGAGTTTTGAGTGGATATCCGTTTTGAGTCCCCCTGAACCCAAAAAAGTGGTTTTAGAAGTGATATCTGTGTCTATATGTGTATGTGTGTGTATGTGTACAGAGCTACAGGACCATCCCTGTAGTCTGATTTTGATTAAATTTGGCATGTACGTACTATTCCATGGTATTTCCAGGTAATTATTTTTTCAAAAAATGATTTTTAATGGTGATTTAAAAAAAAACCAAAAAATAACGGACGAATCAGATTTTCCCAAAAATTACCCAAAGATTTTGATAACAATTTATTACCTATGTTATAGCTCTTTAAATTCTGAATAAAATTGTGCAAATCCCATTTCCGTAAAAATTACGGTTAAAAAGGTACTGTAACTATGCTATTTTCCCATAAGAAATCCCATAAAATAACAAAAATCAGATTTTAGGAAAAACCCGGGTTTGATTCAAATTAATGTGTTATGGTCCTTTACAGCAATAATAATGTTTTTTTACAGCAATGGGGGTTTGCACTGTTTTGTTTAGAGTTTGTCTGTGGTTATACCTAATTATAGTTATAAACAAAATAGTGCAACCCTCATTGCTGTAACACTTACGGTTCAAAGGTTATTGCAACTTTTGTGATTTTTTCCTATAAAATATCATAGTTACTCTCATCGCTTACCCACTTATAAAGGTTGTTGACAAAGCTTTAAATATGGGAGAAAGTATGTGTCAGATTGCTGATACCGTTAATTTATTAATTGTTTTCCATAAAGAAAAATATTAATAATTCAAATGTCAATTCATTACACATGTTCAAAAAAAAGATACCTAAAATAAGTTAAATTTTTTTTAGGTCTTGTCAGTAGGCCTACATAAAATGTACTTCAAAACGAGTTATTGATAATTAAATTCCTACTTCATAAAAATAGCATTGGATTTTGAAAACCCGTTTGCTTGACTTAAATTATAATATAATCTCAATATCACGTTAAGAAACTATTAATTAATCCTTTGGCTATGATTGTTTGAATTTTAAAATGCAATAAATACAAATAATACCAAACAGTAGTCTAACTGAATCATAGTCAAAAAATCAAAATCGACTTTTATTAATAAAATTGTACTTATTAAACTTTTGAAAAGTGAACTAATGTGGCGGATGGCTTAATCCTGAATTACCAGCAATGGCAAGCACCGCATCAAATAGCCTAATTAATTGAGTAGGCTAATGTTGCTTTACCGAAACTAGACCTACAACACTCTGATTAGACTGATTACTGTAATTGTTAAACAGTTACCAAACTTTTAAGTTCTTTACTGCCTCACGAATCACATCAAACACGACGGTAAAAACAAATTTTCTACGCATGCAAAACGCAATAAACATGTAAGTTGTGTAACACGGTAAGCCACTTGGAAATTGCAGGCGCAAAAACAGGAAGTAACAACGTTTTGGAGTATTTGGTTACCAATGAAACTTAAAAAATGTAATACAGTCCTCAATTAAATTAGTCAGTAGGTTTATGATACACGTAAACCTAACCTACATTTGTATCGAGAAAATTATATTCAACCTTTTTGTTCCACAACATCATTATAATTTTCACAATATTAATACGAATTTGGAATTAAACTTACGTAGGAAAATATATTTTAACTACAGTAGGCTATAAGAAAATCTATTTCTAAACAGTATATAATCATAATTTTTTACGACAAGTTATTATTCACTGTCATTCACAAGTTATTGGACACTGTTCAATTTGGTACGAGTATGGTACTTTTGTATGGCAAAATCTTCAAGGATGTCTTGCATTAAATATCCTACAACTTTTATTGTCCATTCGTCTTTGAAATTAAATTTTAATTTTAAGATAAAGATGGTTACCTGAATTCCAAATTTAGTGAATTTCTTGAATCACATTGTGTAGCTCAACACAAAATAAACGTATGTAAATAAACTATAATGTAATTACCTAAGTAAAGAAATTATCCTCATCGAAAACCGAAGGGAAGGGCAAATAAATCCAATTTTACTATAAGATAGTTTTGTTTATAAAATAAGAAGGTATAAAATACCTTTTGGTATTTTCTTGTATACTTTTGAAAGGAAAATACATGTTTGTTAAAAAAAAATATGTTTAAGTTTAATCACCGGAATTAATAAGCTTAAAAACAATCTTTTGCTTGGTAAAGTATTTTAAAACAGAAAAACAAACTTTGAATACGTAAAAAATACCCAACAAGAATTTCTGCTTACTGAAACTACCCTTATTTTATAAAGATCGTTCATACGAGAGCTCATGTCAAACGGCTCTGTTGGGGTCGGAAGTGGAAGATAATAAGCTTAAGTGTCAAGCGGCCCACCCCACACCAGTTGCATCGATTTTCACTCAAGTTGATAATTCATTTTGACATCAGCTGACCAAAATAAAACCTGTTGCATGTTTACAGCTAGCCTCAACTGTTGAGTTGCAGACGTTAATTGAATCTAACTCTACATATTGTTGAGGACGAGTTAAGTATAAGTGGTTGAAGATAAGTGATGCTGTTCAGGTCTACTCACCCTGGCAGGTACTTGCAGATCAGCTGTTTAGCAGACGACACAACCACGCCCCCTCAGCATATCCTGAAGCTCATTTCAGGATCGGATATCCTACAGTGTGATACCGTTATAATGAGATCTGGCTCAGTAATGCTCTTGGCTGGGGGTGGTCGGTGGTCCAGAGCGTTGCCTAGCAACCGCGTACTCGACCACCCTTTGACCACCCCTCACCGACTCCTACCACCCCTCTTGCTTCGTCCTCTACCACTCCTTCCCCACAACCACTACCATTACTCCTCATTTTTAATGTCTCCATATCTCAACCATCTATCATCCCTCATAATTCCAGTTCACTTGATTATCCTATGCCATATGTCCCAATTAGGTTTAGTCTCAACCTTCACTACCATCCCTGGAATACCCCTTTCCATCCCAAAAATGGCTTAAAGTATCAACAACTATACCCAAAATTTCTTTAACCAACCTTGGCCAATAGTTTCCACCAAACCTCCATAACACTCCATTCTCTCTATATCCCCAATTACTCTCACCAACCCTCCCACTATATATCCATATCACCAACCCTCTCACTCCTTAATTATCTTACCATCCTAAATTACCAATCAACAACCCCCAGCTCCTCAATTACCCCTCCCCTCCCACAACTCCTCAAGTACACTCACCACTCCTCAATTACCCCTCCCCTCCCACAACTCCTCAAGTACACTCACCACTCCTCAATTACCCCTCATCCTTTTTCTGTTACTCTCACACTCACATTGTTTGTCTGTTAATGCATACCTATTGTTAATATTATAGCCTAAGTTTTTTTTTCAAAGTTTATTGTAGAAAAACTTTGTAGAAAAGTACCTTCTTAAACATTTGAAAGAGGGGGCATTTGCTAATTCACTATTACCGGACTTATGGGTACATTTGCCTTATGGGTTTTAGCATGGATGGTGGGGTTTGGCATGGTGTAGAGTAGACACCGGTATACGGTAAAAAATTCTCTTGCCATATTCTTTTTATTATTCATTTAACAAATTATTTTATACTCACATAGCATAAATATATAATATTTTTAGTGAATAATAAAAGAAAATGGTAAAAGTTATTGTTATTTTATACCAATGTTATAATATTTTGGAAAAGAAAAAATCATAAAGGAGGCACCAGGACGTCACTCACAAATTGTTAAAATTAATAATCTGATACAGCTTTATCTTCGACTAGGTAGAAACCATTGATTAAACCCATGCAGGAAGGATATACAATATTATATGCATTAAAACTCCATTTGAGTAACTATCGATAGTATTTAAAAAAACTAAGTTTTCACTACTCCATATTCCCCCCTCCCAAGGAATGACAGTAATACACCAAATCCCTTGTCACGTATTACATTTTCAAAGAGCTGCTCGATTTCCCCTACTCCACTCAATCATTGCTCATCCCATTTCCTATACTTTTATCACAATCTTCCTGCCGCCTTTCATAACGACTTCATCTCAATAGGAAATGAAAATATTGTTCTTAATAAAAATTTTGAAATATAAGATTAGCAGGATTTTCTTTTTAGCGAATTTCCCTATAGGGAAGTAGCTATTACCGTAGGTGGCACGGTAAGACTTAGACCCGGGACCGATTTACTTTTTCATTTTGATGTCCCCAGAGGCCAAAAACCCCATTCGTTCAAATTTTTATATATGTATATATATATACGTCCGTGAACGCAATAACTTGAGTAATTTTTGTCCGATTTTGATCAAATTTGGTTTAAAGGTGTAAGGCGGGATAAACTTGAATGAGTTCGCGAACCAGCACGATCGGATCATGGGAACGGGGCTTTACGGGGGGTTTTATTGGGTAAAAATTGGTTTTTCTCACTTTTGACCCTCAAAACACAAAATTTCCTGATTTCTCTTTAGACCTTTTTAAAGAGCTTAAAAAAACAAATAATTTAGTATATAAAAGTATTTTTGTTCGATTATTAGTAACGGAGAAAATTAAAAAAATTGTAAACTTAAAATTCCTATGTTATTTTTATGGAGAATATTGTCAAATGTTGTAGTTCGCTTGTTTATGGATATATTTTGATCAAACTTGGCAAATTTATTTATTTTGTACTAAGCTATCAATATTTTACTCAAAAACACACTTTATTAGTTTCCTTGTAACAGCAAACCTAGGTACTCGTTAAACCTAAAGTTATTAAAATATATTTAACTGAAAATCAATTCAGACAAATGGAAATTCGCTTAGTCGGCAGGTTTGCTGCAGCGGGGGTATTTAAATTTTAATTTAATAGATATGAACTGAATAACTACCTGAATTACTTTGTTCAGGTAAGGTTTTACATTATTGTGTAAAAACTGTATCAAAAGGAATTATTATTTGAAAACTATTATGTGATTATTATTAGTGACAGTCATTTGCTGAATTCACAGAAATGCAGGTTTTATGGCTAAAAAAACCCTAATCGACTGTATTATTAAATGTTTCGCGTAACTTTATTATTTGGCCTTGAATACTCTGACTCTAAAATATGGTTCATAAACTCAGTTTTTTAATTTTATGCATTTTTTAGGGTAATCACTAATTAGTGCATTATGTCTTTTTGTAAGTCATTTTGCTTTGCTACACTGTTAAACTTGACAGAATCTAAAAGAAAAAATAGTCTTAACAATTTTATACAGTAGAGTTCAAAACCCAAATTTTCCCTAAAAGGTGCAAATATCAATATGTTTTATTTGCCCATTGATCATCAAAACATTTTTTCCAAACCAAAAATAAATCAGTTTGAAAATTGGTTATAGATAACGCTAGATATTTGTCTATTAAAAAAAAAAACACACATTCTAAGAGGGTTTTAATGCTTTTTGGCTCGTTGGGTGAGTCGTTAAAAGTAAAAATCTTCACTGGAAAATAATTACAAAACAAAATATAAAAATACTGTCAACAGGACATTTTTACAGGAAAGTTCCAACCTTCAAATGTAGTAAATAAGCCAAATGAATTATTTAATAGATTCTAATAAAAATCATAACAGAACAAGCAGTAAGTAAAAGGGTAAAACAATTGAAATACACAAGTGCCATCTTTATTTCTTGAAATATTTACCATATTTGTACAATATTTACATTTAAGTAAGCGTGTCGGTAGTATCCAAGTACAATGTAACTCCGTTGGTAACAAATACATCTACCAGGTGGGGCCCCAAGAACTTGCTTTCTGTGAAAAGTCAAACAAAATGAAAATTAAAATAGCAATACAAGAAATTATAAAACATAATCTGGACAAAAACGGGTCTTTAATTCTTAGAAGATTTTGGAATGAAAAAAAACCTGGGACTACATTAAATATGTGTAGGCCTTAACCCTGAAGATGTATTAAGATGCATTAAATCCTCTAAAATGTCAATCCGTTACTCCAATTCATTCCCATCCAATAATACACAACTAACTGTGATAATTGGATCCCCTACATATTATCTAAATATATAAAAGAGGAAGTATGTATGTAGCCTATGGACTCCGAAACTGCTTGACAGATTGTACTGAAACTTTCAGGCATTATTATTATTCAAGGATGGTTTGTGTTAAGTTTAGTGCAGATCCGTTCAAAAAACTCTGCTCAAGAGGGTTATAAGGGGCTCAATGTCAGACATTTGGAACTACAATGTTTACAAATAAATATAATTTAAAAGCAGATGTTTAGAGCCTTATTATGCGTGGCCACTTGAGTGGCTTGCCACCACAACTGTCCCAAAGCCACTTTTAGCGGGCCGTGTCATCAAATGGAGCTAGTCGGGCACCCTCGCTACTGGTGGCGAACCCAAGCAGCTGTCGCGCCACAAGCTTATTACGCGCTGCTACAATTACAGGCCACGCCGTACCCCCCATCTCAATATCTTCCCTCAGGCACAACTTTTGTGTCAAAATTGTATCATATTAGATTTATTATATTATATTATTACATATTTATGGTTAGGCCTATATTAAAGTCAAGCTTTAAGGTAGGAGACATAAAAAGGAATAACAAATATTCCTCCCCTCCTTAGAATAAATAAAAATTATTCACATTCTTGTGGGATACAGTTAACCCTTTCCGCTCGTATGTCGCGGTGGCCGCGACATCCATTTTTGACGCTTCCACTCGAATGTCGCGGCTGCCGCGACATTGTTTTAAACGACTCTAAACTCATTTTATATAGTGCAGAAATGTTTAAAATGATAAGAAAGACTGATCAATGGTTTTCTCAATTTATTTTAGCTGCCCTTGGATCAAAGAAAACAACCACGAACGATTTAGTTGGCTTTGAAATAAGTTTGGTTCGTTTCGTGTTTGTTTACTTGAACGTCTGCTTCTGCTAGTTTATATTCTTTGTTCGCAGCGACTGTTATTGCAATTTTTATATTATATTTTACTTGTTTTGGGTAACTATTGTTCAGTAAACATTTTTCAGTGGTTAATTACCGATAATTTAGCAAAGTGAACGGGTAATTATGTTTATTTCACGTTAAAATGGATGACGAACTTTCTTTGTCAGACTCCTTGATCAGTAAATTATTTGAAGGAGGTTTGACTTCTGATGAAGAATCCGATTTAGATTGTGCTCCGGACTTAGATAATGAGGAAATATTGTTATTTGATGACAGTGACTTAGAAGAACTTGGTGATTTGGCCCATGATGTAAACTTTGGAGTTTTAGTAGGGGATTCTAAAAGCCCAGCAAAAGCTGAAACTGTAAGTAGGCCTAAGCCTAACCTTCATAGGTCTAGTTTTCTACAAGACACCTGCCCTTCAACAAGTCGTAATTTATTTGTTGACTCTGATGACTTGCCTCTCTCTGGTGCTCTATTACAAAGCCCAGATGAAACTTTACCTGTAAGTAGCCTACATGAGCCCTCAACTAGTAGGGATTTATTTGTCAGTCCAGTTATTGATGAATTACTTCCTGTAGTAGCGGTACCGGTACCACCAAAGCGTAGCCGAGGTAGGCCCAAAAACATATGTTCATCAAGAAATCGAACCCTCAACTAGTAGGGATTTATTTGTCAGTCCAGTTATTGATGAATTACTTCCTGTAGTAGCGGTACCGGTACCACCAAAGCGTAGCCGAGGTAGGCCCAAAAACATATGCAGTTCTAAAACTCCAATTTGTTCAAGAAAAAGGCCTACGCCTACGAAAAAGAGTTCAAGAAGCTCACAGCCTAAGCAACCGAAGAAACAGCCTTCCAGTGAAGACAAAAACTATAAACCTTACTTAGATTCTGACCCAGATTTTGATACTTTTCCCTATACTCTATTGTCAGGGTACAAGGCCCCATTGGGGCCACAACAACCTCAAACCCCTTTGGATTTTTTTCAATTATTTCTTACTGGGGAGTTGATAGATCATATTGTAAAAGAAACAAATACATAAGCATACGAGCACATTTCAATGGCTACCCCCTTGCAGAAAAGATCTATTTGGTCAAACTGGAAAGATTTAACTGCAGATGAGTTCAAAGCTTTTTTAGGCATTGTGATTAATATGGGTCTCAATCCTAAACCTAATTTACAGGATTATTTCTCTCATGAATGGCATAAAAAACAATCCTTTTTTACGGATGTCTTCTCCCGTGATCGTTTTTTTCAAATTTTTGGTGTCTGCACGTGTCTAGTAAAACTCCAGCTGGCGTTCGCCCATCAAGAGGATCTAAGATTAGCCATTTAGTGACATATTTACAGGCTAAATTTTGTGAATACTTTGTTCCACCCTATGAGCTCTCTATGGACGAAAGCACTGTTTCCTTCAAAGGGAAAGTCCATTTCAAACAGTACAATCCTAAAAAGCCTATAAAGTGGGGCATGAAAGTATTTGTTATATCCGATTCAAGAACAGGCTATGTTTATACTTTTGAACCTTACTATGGTGCTGCAACCACGGCTATTTTGCCTTTCCCTGAACATCAGTTCACCATGCGGATTGTGATGCTTTTGGCGGAACGAGTCAGAAATCAGTGTGGGTTTGAGTGCGGGTTCCACATTTATACAGACAGACTATACACCAGCTTGGCCTTAGCTCAGGAGCTCGCCAAAATAAGAATACACCTAACTGGTACGGTCCTAGGGAATCGACAAGGAAACCCATCTTCTTTTCAAAAGAAAAATATGAAGTCAAACAAGATGCAGTTACATGAAGTGCGTGCCTTTCGACACAAGGATAACGTTTTGGTATTGGCATGGAGGGACCAGAGGGACGTTACCATGCTTAGTACTGTGCATAACCCTTCAGTAGTGGAGATAGTGAGGAATAAAAAAGGAAGCACAGAAAAAGAGAAAGTTTTGAAACCCACAGTCATTATGGACTACAATGAGCGAATGGGTGGGGTTGATGCAGCTGATCACTATATATCGTCGTATATGTTTGTCCTCAGTCCAAAAAATGGTGGAGAAAAATGTTTTTCTGGTTACTGGAAGTAAGTGTAGTAAACAGTTTTTAACTATACAACATGTATCAACAAAACATTGGAAACAAGTGTTGTGAATCAAAGAAGTTCAGGGAGATGCTGTTGTTACAACTTGTTGGGGACTTCCGCAATCCTAGTGGTAAAAGACGTGGTAGGCCTTCCACAAGCGACAAAGAAGAGAGGCTTAACCAAAAGCCCCACTTCATTGCAAGTTTTCCTGGAGTGAATCAGAAAAAGGACTGTGCTGTATGCAGCAACCGGAAAGTTCCTGGTCAAAGGAGGGAAACTCACTTCTTCTGTGAGACGTGTGAACGCAAACCTGGCCTTCACCCTGGTGAATGCTTCAAGCGGTACCATACCCTCAAAGACTACAAACCCTAGGTAGTCAATAATTTAAGTAGGCCTATCTAAATATTAGTAATCTAGAATAACCTCAAGGTTCCAAATCAGAAATAATAGATATATTTGATAATTCAGCGTTTTTTTTATATTTTTTGTTATATGTCGCTAATGAAAATTTATATTTTTGGTTTAGTATAACAATTTCGGTGTATTTATATTTTCGGTTTATATGAATAAATAGGCCTACAGATAAATACTGTTTATCTCAGTTTACTAATCCTGTTTGAAAATTACAGGCAAAAGAACTAAGAAACAGAAGTCGCCGTGGAAACCAAAAATTTCAAAAACTCAAATTTTAGAAATTTACATATTTTATTCATAATAATACAAGTAAATGTTTATGTAATTGATATTTTTTGTTTGTTTTTACATAAGGAATGTAAATAATATTTTTTCAATACTCTAAAAAAAAGTTTTATATTTTTTTATTTTGCCTAAATATATGGATTTTGTAAAAATTTATTTTGCTTTTAGCGAATTTCCCCATAGGGAAGTAGCTATTACCGTAGGTCTCATGGTAAGACCTAGGCCCGGGACCGATTTACTTTTTCATTTTGATGTCCCCAGAGGCCAAAAACACCATTCGTTCAAATTTTTATATATCTATATATAGCATATATAGATAACTTGAGTAATTTTTGTCCGATTTTGATAAAATTTGGTTTGAAGGTGTAAGGCGGGATAAACTCGAACGAGTTCGCGAACCAGCATGATCGGACTATGGGAACGGGGGTTTACGGGGGGTTTTATGGGGTAAAAATAGGTTTTTCCCATTTTTGACCCAAAAAAAATAAAATTTTGCAAAATCTTTTCAAACCATTTTGTAGAGCTTAAAAAAACAAATAATTTAGTATATTGAAGTGTTACTATGCGCCTAATGGTTACGGAGAAAATTCGAAAAAAATGTAAATTTTAAATTCCCATGTTATTCTTATGGAGAATGAGTAAACTGTTGTAGTTTACTTGTTTATGAACATATTTTGATCAAATTTGGAAAATGTTTTTATTTCTTACTAACTATTAACATTTTACAAAAAAAGTTTTACCCTCCCTGATGCAGCAAACCTAAGTACCTGTTAAAATAATTCTATTTAAATAGGAAATAAATGTTAAATTTTTAAGTAGACATTTTAGTGTAAATCCAATCAGACATATGGAAATTCGCTTAGTCTGCAGGTTTGCTGCGGCGGGGGTATTGTTTATTTATGACCATACCAAAAATAAAATTTTAAAACTAAAATTGTAATTTTATGTTTATATTGTATAACAATTTATGCTGAATAAGAATCAATAGCTCAACGTTATTAAATAACTAATATTAGATAAAAAAAACACTAAAAACCAAAAACATGCAATTTTTCTTTAAATTAAATGCAAGTGTGAGGGAACAGCCATGCAAAATAATTCGAGTGGAAAGGGTTAAGTCACCGTCTATTTTTTTCAGAAAGTTCATAAAAGAATTTTTTGACATCCAAATATAAAAAAAAACTTCTTATAATCATCTATGAGATCATCATAAATTGTGAAAAATACTCCTTTTGAAGGTATCTCTTTTACTAATGGATTGACTCCAATCCAATATTTTTGTTTCGCCTAAGTTTACGATGCTTAAGTAAAAGTAGAAGAAATAGTTCATCTCTTCTTCACTTGACGACAACATCGTTCACACTGGAAAACTACATACAAGTCTGAATACAATTTGGTCGGACAGACGCACAACCTCGCCACCCTTGTCGGTACCCTTACCCACTCCAAGCGACTGAGCAGTCGCGGTCACGTGCCACTTGTGTGGCCGCCCATAATAAGGCTCTTACTTTCACCATTATTATTGGAACCATTTTTATTATTGGGACAGTAATTGACCACAATAAAATGTTAATGTTGAATTGTTATTTCATGTTGTTGATATTTCAGGGGTTGGGAACTTTTATAGAACAATTTTTATTTTAACAAACCAGCTGTGTGCTGTAGTAATCCAAATAAACATGTTAAAATTATATAAAGCAATGCTGTAAAATATGTATGACTGTGAGTGCTTTAATAACAATCTTATCTTATATTAGGATTTTTGTGCAATTTGCCCTTTGAAGAAAACATTTAATTTCAAAACTCAACTTTTAAAAAATCCGGTAGGTTTGTTTTGGATGTTTTGAATATAAATCTCCAATAAAAATAGAATGTGCTACAATAATTTCTTAATCCTGAAAACAATGAATATTTCTTGTAATCCATCTTTCCAGTAAATGTAAACCAACGCCATTATAAAACACAGTACACTCACGTTTAATCTTGTCTATCTCGTACATATTCCTCATTTTGTTGAGCATGTAATCGTACAGTTGTTGTCCCTTGTCAATTTCCGAGGCGTCTGTGAAGCTCGGAGTGCCGCCCTTCAGATCGTGCGTCAGAGATATCTCGGCTAAGCAGGTCACCTCGTAACCTTTTTCCATCACATTACGAGCCCATTTTACTGGCTTAGCTTTGGGAGTGTCATTTCTGGGCTCTTCAAACAGCTGAGCGTTCATGACTGTGTCTATTCTAAAAAAATATATATTATCATTACTATACTCTTAGTAATAGGCGAGTGTCCCTGAACATTAGTATTTTACCTAGCATTCAGGGGCATTTCCACATTATGAGTATGAGATAAAAACTCAACTGGGTATAAGTCAATTTTGTCAACTCAAATTTGAATTTTAGTGCAATCAGTGAACAAACTGAAAAACTGGTTTTAGTTATGGTTTTAGTACGTGTTGTAACTGAAGAATAGAAACATGCAACTGAGCAACTGTCTCTATACCTACGCTTGCAGAAACGGGATGAAGGATTAGTTAAAACAAATTGTGAAAATAAAACCAATTTAAATTTTAATTTTAAATTTTTTCGTAACTAGAAATTAATTAGCAAAAAAACTCGTAAGAAAAGTATGAGTGCATTTATTCTATTCATTCAGCTGTGACAAATTTATAGTGACTCAAGCTGTTTTACATGTTGGTTTTTTCCATTCTTGACAAAAACATTACATTACTTAACCAACCTAAAATTAATTAGCAACAAGATATCCATCTTGGACAAATGTGTAAAGAATAAATATTTAACTGATATTAATTTATTCTTTTGAAAACAACTAAGGGTTGAGTAGACACAATGTTGCAAGTTTTGAATTACTCCATAGCACAGTAAATAGTACTTTGGCTATTCCTTGAGAATGAAAATTAACAAAATAAGGTAAGCCATTTTATGTTTTCTGCATCAATTTAAGAAAAGAAAGAATAATTATTTCAAGTTGATTTTAAAATGCTGGATTTAAAAGCTTATGTAATTTCACGATGGGTTAGCCTCTAGATAAAAAATTGCAATATAAAGTGGGTTACGTTACCTTTTGCGTCAAACGATCCTTGATGTAGTTAAAAGCAACTACAGCTGTTTCAGGACTGCAATATCCACCAGTGCCTACCTCGCATGGTCGTTACTTGGCCAAGTTAAATTCATGTCGTTTAAATGTTCTATTCGTATTCGTGTATTATGTGTGTAACAGTAATTATTTATATTGACAACTCATCCACGAATGAAAGCTCTTTTATCTCAACGTTCGACAACCTGAAGATGTGCCCCATCAGCATGAAACAGCTGTAGTTTATTTTAACTACATCAAGGATCGTTTGACGAAAAAGGTAACGTAAACCTTTTTCTACAGCTTAAGCATTTTACAGCAAAGTAACAATTACAAAAGCCGCTAGCTTAATTTATCAAAATAAAAAAAATAATCAATAAAAAATCTACGGAATACACTGAGAAAAACATTGACACTAAGACTTAATCATTGACTCACATGTAATCTGCCTCCTTTTCTGTATCATCCTTGAAAAACCCAAGGTAAATCACCAATCCGGGACCCATCAACGATATGATGGCCCCATGACCTTTAAACATACACACAAATTAGTTACAGAGATTAATCTAAATAAAGAAAACACACTATAAACAAAATGATGTAGTATTTTTGCACCCAAGGGTATAAAAGACGTAAATCTTGGTCTCCACAATTTGACTGTAATATGCAGTCGATTTGTTAGGGAATGTGGTGGAACGGAGTTCCAGTACCTCTCTTTAGGAAAGATAAAAATATTATCATAAAAAGGTACAAATCACATTAAACGTGTTAAGGTTACAGTTCCGGCACCTAATTGTTTACAAATCGAGCACTGGTAATATGTGCTTATAAACTTATCACGTTTTATGTGAGTTTGCTACTCACTGAATAGCACTGAATAGCTTCTCTGTACTAGAGAATAAAAGAATAAATTTACAAGATAGTTTACTGACATTACAGTCTACAAAATAATCAATTTTGACATTTTGAGGTATAAAAAGCTTTAGTTTTTCATATTACAAAAAACATCTTCATAAGAGACACATAGAAATGATGTAACATGAGTGATTTAAAGTATACTTCCAGAAAAATGTATTTTATATAGACTAACAAATTTAACAAAAGCCAAAGAAATAAATTTTATTAGGCCTACTTAAAACAAAATACTTCACCTGTAACTTTTGTTTTGTTGACACACTGCACAAGTGCCTTCATGTCACTTTACAGACTAACGGTCTTATCTCTTGGGCATCTGATTAGACTTTATGAGCGCTTTTAATTCTGAGACGAAGAAAAACATAACTGCACCACTTTCTTAATGTTAATGTTATAAAACGGTTACCACAGTGTCGACAATTGTTCAAAAAGCACTATTTTGATTTTATAAAAAATTAATTCACACAATTACAATTAACTAATGTTAATTTTTGAGACCTTAAGGAAAGTACACATGGATTTTTCCTTGCTATCTTATTACTAATTTTCAGCTGATCAGCAGTTATACTAGAGTATTTTATTGGTCCTGGTGATGGTGATTTATGGGTGATCAAGGCTACACTCTGGATGGTTTACGTTTCTTTTGTCGTCCATACAAGTTCGGTTCATCATCTTCTGAATCAACATCAGAGTTACTGACTTGTTCGTACTCTTTCTTATACATCTCTGAGAAAACTTCATATTCCAACATTGAGAGCCTAGCTATATTACTAACAAAGTCTTTATCACTTGTGTTAACAACGTCAATTAATTTTGGATTCTTGGACAATTTCTTGATAAATTCTTTACCGGGTCTTTTATAAATACCGGCTCTTATCAAGAACTCGTGCCTTGTTCTGATATGGAGTGCGCTGTGGCCCAAAACTGCTGATGATATGATTTCGGATTTTTCAGTGCACAGCTCGTCTAAATAATTGAGCTTGTCAAACAATTCTGCAAAGTTCTCTTCAATAACATTTGGAGCCAACAACACCAGCTTCCCAACACCTTTTTTTGTTTCAAAAAATATCTGAAATTGCTTTATGCGCTTTTCAACAGTTGTGTAGTGAACTTGTAAAAGAGATGGATGCATTGTCCAAATTTCAAAAATAACCTCAGTCGACAAGTTACACCTCAACCAAGCCCCAATATTTTTGTCCAAATCACTTTTCTTCATTGATAGCACATCTGGCCATTTATTAATTATAGAAACGACAGCTTTTTTCTCTAACCCACAATCCAACAAACTACCCAATATATTGTTCCATACAGCTGGAGTTTTATTCAGTAGGTCAGGTTGCTTCTGAATAACGGATTTGATTTCATTCTCGGAAAAACCGAGTTCTTTTACAGTATCCATTACTAAAGTAAAATGAGGAGTGGAAAATTCTTTGAGCATATAAACGCTTGTATTTTGTACTTCAGATTGGTAAAGTCTTGACAGTTTGAATAGATCAGACCTGTACATGTTATTGTTTTTGGTAAATGATTTGCTGCTTGAAACAATCAGTCTTGCACTGAATCGTAGCATTGCTAAATCTGAAACAAAGAAATGTAATTTAATGATTTATACAGTAATTGATTCATATGAATGTTGGGAGTCTGAAAAAACAATCTTAGACTGGTAGCCTACAGATAGGCCTTTCAGGGGACGGTGGCGTTGTTCTGTAATCCAACTACTACTAAGACGTCACGAATTGTAGATATTTATAGGCATGCACTGTGGATGCGATACTCCCTTGTGTTGATTAACGTCCGCTCTAGTGAGTACTACGACTATCTGCAGTACTATCCTGATAATTAGACCAATTCGATAATACCAAGGCAAATATGTGGTTCGGATTCCACTATAAACTAACTGTAGGTCCACTAGTTGCCATTAGCTGTATGGGCTTTTAATAAACAGCTGTGTCTAAGGAATATGTCAGCCTAAGTCACTAACAAGACTACAAGATCGCGCCACTCATCTCCATTCATAGCCTACTTGACTTAAATAACCTACCTACTTTGTATGGTCACCATTTCAATGAAAAGTAAAGTATAAAAAATGTATAAAATTTTACAACACTAGCTTGTAACCACTTAGTTTATTACTTTTATCTTCAACTATCTTGAGGTTACTTTAAACCTAAGTTTTTTTTAGGGTAGGTACCTAGAAAACAAATGGTACTTTGGTATTATCCGGAGGCCACTTATTTTAGATGGATTTTTTACCAGAGACCAAAAATAACTACATAGTTAGAAAGAACTTACTTTAGGTACTTGACTTACTGTCCTAATTTGACATGATTACGATTAGCGGTCTTTGAGTTCTGCCTCTAAGAAGGCAGCGATGTCAGCAAGGATTAAGTTGAATGCGTCACCGCCCCTATCTACCACATATACTCCGCCAAGTAGGTATACAGCACGGTTAACTTATGTTAGGTTGGGTTATCATCAATATGTTTGTAGGACTTTCCTCGTTTCATTATGAATCGAACGATACGAGATGAGTAACGATACCAGAGAATAGGCGGTGACAGGTGATTTACGCTCTCCAGTCAACAAGCTGACCTTGGCCTACTTAGAGGGGATTTAGCGGGCGAAAGTATGACACATCTGGTATCGTTCGTTTCATAACGAAACGAGGAAAGTCCTACAAAGATAGCCCAACAGAACATAACCGCCGCAGCGTGCTGTAGCCTCTACGGGTGGCCTCCGGTAATACCAAAATGCCGAACAAATTATCTTAAAATTTATGATTCAAGACATTTAAAAACTGTTACCAGAAAAAGTTATTTAAGCTTAGTGCTTGACAATTCTGGAGCTCATGTGAAGTTTCTCCTGGAATAAAAAAAGATTTTTCTGCCAACGTCACAAGCCTCATCCAACCTACGGATCAAGGTGTTATAGAATGTTTTAAAAGGCGATAGCCTATAGGCGCAAACTTCTTTCAGAGATTTTAGGGAAAATTGTCAGTGACGGCATGGATCTTGTCTCGGGTCTAAAAAACATTTGTACATAAAAAGGGTTATCAACAAGACTGCCAAATCATAACTTACAATGAAAATTCCCAGTTCAACATTTGTCAAGTCTCGGCAGAAGGTCTGGTCAGATACAGTATTGAGAAATTAAGTTAGTCAACCATATCGTTAAAGAAGATTTCATCCAGGTACCGGTAGCAGATGAACGTCCAGATAACTGTAAAGTAGAACTCTTAAATGAACTGGCAATGTAGGCAACAGCTGGTGGTGAAGAAATCTTGGATCAAGATGTTCAGGAGTGGGTAACTGGTGATGATGATTTGGAAAGCCAGTTTAGCCTATTTTTAAGTGATGAACCAATAGTGCAGAATGTTTTTCAATAGTATGAAAATGAAGAAGCTGAAAAATCTGATGATGACACTCCCAAAGAAAATGAGTTAGGCCCTAAGCCACGAGGGCACAAACCATTGACAAAAATAGACAAATTAGTTCGGAGTCACCGCCGGCCAGACAAAATGCGTGCAAGTACCCTGACTTTTATGTAACTATTTAAAGGCTAATTTTTTTACTTAAATTTAACTGAAAACAGAATAATATGCCTAAGCTTAACTTAGTTTGTGTACCGGTAAACGTATTGTTGACTACCTGCCACCTAGCTCTTAAAAACTTACAGACTTACCAGATTATTGGTAGGCTAAAGTAGAAAAATGTCGATTTTTAAATAATTATAGTCTATTTGTTGGTTTTTGCCTTTGATGTATTACAATTACACAAACCACATATCACTTTACTTCACATTACTAAAACACTCCCAAACGACTAACACCTTTAACACCTAACGAAACGAACCGACCAACCGACCTGGTGACCTAACCTAAAAATAAAAGTTGTGTGAGTTGTGTGTTTGTATGACAGCATATTGAAATTTGTTTGTTCGTTTGTTGCATTGGATTGGTATTTACTCAAGGGAGGTATAGAAGAGCCTTCGATGACGTCAGCTGTAGATCTCTTCTTTTGAGGGAACACCATTAGAATTACCGCAACTAAGTTATACGGTTATACCATAGATAAAACATACTCCCTTATTAGTAGATTTCTTATCCTTATGGAACAGCTGAAGACAATTTTATTGTTAGTTCATGTACGGTTTATGTAGAGGTCGTGTTTTTTTTACAATTTGTTTCCCGTTATAACAGCCATTTAAAACCTCGTTTGTTATACCATAGATAAAACATAGTCCGTTTATCTATGGTTATACGGGATTGAGGTGGGTGATTGAGTCCATTGATGTATAATAACTCCGATGTATATTGTGAGTTAGTGTGCACCGTTTAAGTCATCGTCCTCGGTGGTGAAGTGGAAGCGTTCTTGGCTGATAATCTGAAGGTGCCGGGTTCGAATCCCGCTGGTAGAACTAACTTTTTGTCTAATTTTTTTCATTATCAGCAAGTTTGGTTAGTTTGGTTAGGTCATGACAGTTTAAAAATTTAAGCCATTTATAGTTTTATTTTATAGAAAGCACTATTTTTTTATTAGTAAACCTTCATTCGATTTTTTCATTATCAGCAAGATTGGTTAGGTTATGACAGTTTAGTTTTATAATTTTAAAAAATAAGAGAGAAATTTTATAATTTTTCTTAATTTTAAACTAATAGTGACATCAAAATTACTGTCCTCTACTACAGCGCTGTTTACGGAGGAATTTTTAACTGAACTATGATGTCATCGTTGCCTCATTTATAACTCCCGTAAGTCAGTCCCCATTGATTGCAATTCGATTTTGAAATAGTAGTTTACCTCTATAGTCCAGGATCTGAAGGGGGTTGAGCATGCATGAAAAGGGTGACGCAATTTTATTTCTGATTGTTGTTATAGGCACTATAGTGATCACGAAAACGCATGTCGTCGCCCAGTCGCCCCCCAGCGTGGTCGACAACCCGGGGGGGGAGGGGGGCAATATGGCGGGGGCGCCGTTTACTAAAACGCCTATAACTCGAGAACTATTCTAGGTAGAACATTGCAATAAACGCCAATTTACTCAAAAAATTATGATCTTTAAAAATGTTAATGTAGTGAAATTCGTATCTTTGATGGGTTTTTAGTTATTTTATATTGAAGCTAAAAATCAATATGGGGTTTTGGGGTTAAAATAGGGTTTTCCCATTTTTGACCCTAATAACCAAACAATTTCCAATTTATTTCTTAACCCATTTTGTAGAGCTTAAAAAAAGAAATAATTTAGTATAGCAAAGGGCTGTCGTATGCCTAACGGTTATGGATATAGTTAAAAAAAAACTTAAATTCAAAATACCCGTGTTATTTTTACGGAGAATCAAAAAACGGTTGTAGTTTGCTTATATATGGATATATTATAATCAAATTTGGCAATTTTGTTTATTTCATACTAAGCTATCAACATTTCAATATAAAACTCACCTCAATACCTTCCCTGTAGCAGCAAACCTAGGTACTCATTATAATTCATTTTATTTAAATAGGAAATAAAGCTGACAGTTTTCAGGGAATATTTGAGTATAATATAATATTGAGTCTGCAGGTTTACTGCGGCAGGGGTACTTTTTAAAGCAACCGAAATTACAAGTACCAAGAGACACCTTTTAAGGATAAACATAGCTTTTATGTTTGTAGATCTATGAATAAAAAAAATTGATGAAAAATTAGGAAGAAATTAGGGAAAACTGTTCTTTACTTAGGTTATTTTTACTTTACAATTAAATTTAAATATAAATGCTGGGACATTTCATAATAGTATTATGAGATATCAAAGTGTTGTAGGTTATATTGTTTCACATACCGTACCTTTAGTTTGACAATATGGGCTGCAATGTTGATAACAGTGACCGAAACTACAAAAAGAGTTTGAATGTTGTATAAAATAATTTCCTTTAGAATAACGAACAAAATATACTTTATATAAAAAAATTCTTTTTATTTTAACAAACTATATTTACAAGCATTGTAATAGTGATACACGTCTTAATACATCATTTCCCATTAAGACATTTTTTTATGAAGTTGTATGTTTGTAACTTGAGTTTTTTCTCTCGTTCATTACACAATATATGTAACTACACTTATTCTTCTTCTTCAGAATACATTTTAGTTAGTGGGTTTTTGCAATTGTCCTTACAAGTGCAATAACTACAGCAAGATGAATGGCTTACAAAGCATATACAAGACGTTTTTTGCAGTTTTTACACGAGCAAGGTGGGATTAAAGTGTCTGGCTTTGTCATCAATAGGGGCTTTAATGCCTTATTTTCATCCAAGAAAAAACCAAATTGTGTCAAGTCTAAAGGCTCCACAAATGGAATAGTGGAATTTTGCCAATAGTACAGTTGAGCGGTGCACCGAAGGATATGTTGGCGGAATGAGTTGGATGTGCAAGGCAAACAACCAATGTCATTTACTGCTGATGGGGATGACAAGAAATGAATATATCGGCTTTAAAAACAAGTAATTCCCTTTTTCTTAATAATTTTTAAGTATACAACTTCTAGTTGTCGAAGTTGAGCATCATCTACGTCTTGTTTATATAACAGGTGGAGCGTATCTAAGACAAATTCTGATTTTTTTGCTAAGTTGAAAGCATACTTTTTAGTACCTAGTTTACTTGTTGAGTCACAGCCGGTAAATGCATGTAGAGCTGGTAGTAATTTTTCGTTCAGTGCTTCGGAAGCCATCAATAAATTACTGCTTAAGAAGTGCTTGACCTAATACGGTATGTATTTGCTGATGAAACCAATCTAACTTTAGCGTAACCACAAATTATGGACATTTTACTGAAACGTCAGCTTCAGCAAGCGTGAAAGAATATTAGTGACAATTAACATGAGATTTATTAAGAGCATTGTGCATGTAATCAACCTTAAAGTTAAGAATATAATGGAAACTCCGTGTACAGTATCGAAACTTACAGATGGAGATGGATTGGCATATAAATAAATACCCCCGTCGCAACAAACCTGCATACTAAGCGAATTTCCATTCACCCGGCTTGATTTCTACTAAAATATTCCCTATAAATTTTCAGATTTATTTCCTATTTAAATAACATTAATTTTAGTGAGTAGTTAGGTTTGCTGCTACGGGGAAGATATTGAGGTGTTTTTTTTTTTTTTTTTTATTGAAATATGATAGCTTAGTATGAAATAAGCCAAATTGCCAAATCTGATTAAAATATATCCATAAACAAGCAAACTAGAACAGTTTATTTATTCTCCATAAGAATAACATGGGAATTTTAAATATACAAATCTTTTAATTTTCTCCGTAGTCAATGAACATTCAAAAAAACTTCCATATACTAAGTTATTTGTTTTTTTAAGCTCTTCAAAATGGTCTAGAGAGAAATTTAGAAATTTATAGTTTTTAGGGTCAAAAATGAGAAAAACCCATTTTACCCCATAAAACCCCCCATAAACCCCTGATCCCATGGTCCGATTATGCTGGTTCACGAACTCGTTCGAATAAATGTAGATTTACACGTTTGTACCAAATTTCATCAAAATCGGATCAATTTTGCTCAAGTTATCGCGCTAACGGACACATATATAAATATATATATGAATAAATATATTAAATATTTAAGTAAATAAGGACAACTGAGCACCCTGAATATTATATTTTATAAAAAGAAGTGACATGTTTCGGACATTAGTCCATTTTCAAACTTCAAAATTACATTAAACACTTAACTGTTGTTTATATTGTTTGTTTGTAAATAAATATAATTTTTATATACAGATGATTTATAGAACTAGACAGGATTTGGAAAAACTTTTTTTATAAAAATTATATTTATTTACAAACAAACAATATAAACAACAGTTAAGTGTTTAATGTATTTTGAAGTTTGAAAATGGACTAATGTCCGAAACATGTCACGTCTTTTTATAAAATATAATATTCAGGGTGCTCAGATGTACTTATTTACTTAAATATTTAATATATTAGCAGCCCTATTACGTGAACACCTAAATTAAAATATAAATATATATATATGAATTTGAACGGATGGTGTTTTTGGCCTCTGGGGACCTCAAAACGAAAAAGTTAATCGGTCCCGGGTCTAGGTCTTACCATGAGACCTACGGTAATAGCTTATTCCCTAAATGGGAAATTCGCTAAAAGAAAAACATATGGTGAAAATTAAATTATTCTATAAAAAAATAACAGTGAAAATATTGAATTGTTGTATGCAATATATAAATAACATCCTAGATAATAAATAACATTTATTTTAATCACGGGATTTTATGTAAAAACATTTATAAATAAATGAATGAATGAATAATTTTTTCGGAAGGTAAATGGGAAGTGGGAGAATTAGTGATGAGTGAGTCAGTCTGTCAGTCAGTGAGGGCTTTGCCTTATATATATATAGATTTAATTGTAAAGTAAAAATAACCTAAGTAAAGAACAGTTTTCCCTAATTTCTTCCTAATTTTTCATCAATTTTTTTTATTCATAGATCTACAAACATAAAAGCTATGTTTATCCTTAAAAGGTGTCTCTTGGTACTTGTAATTTCGGTTGCTTTAAAAAGTACCCCTGCCGCAGTAAACCTGCAGACTCAATATTATATTATACTCAAATATTCCCTGAAAACTGTCAGCTTTATTTCCTATTTAAATAAAATGAATTATAATGAGTACCTAGGTTTGCTGCTACAGGGAAGGTATTGAGGTGAGTTTTATATTGAAATGTTGATAGCTTAGTATGAAATAAACAAAATTGCCAAATTTGATTATAATATATCCATATATAAGCAAACTACAACCGTTTTTTGATTCTCCGTAAAAATAACACGGGTATTTTGAATTTAAGTTTTTTTTTAA